CCCCTTGTAAATCATGATGTGTTTCCCCCTTTGCCATTCTACAACAGTGGAATTGCTTGGTACCGTAGGACAATTAGCAAAGGACTTTGATCACCATGCTCAATTGCCCTCCCAATTAGACATTCCCTTTGAATGTTCTACTTGTTTTCTGTAGAACTTTGCCTCAATTAGTCTGTTTTAATATTAAATAATGTTCTCTGCCGGACTCTGCGATTTGCCTTTTAAAGTTGTAGTTACCATTTCTTCACACAAGTTAAGTCTATGTGAACCGAGTAAATAAAGTTCTAACTGCAGACACATTTAACTAGAATAAACCTGGGAATCTGATAGAATGGGATATAAATTACAGTTTTTATTTAGATGGCAAAATGTGTTTGCAGTTAAATATTTCAGCTTTTATAAAAAAAAAAGCTTAGAATATTTTTTTCTTATTTTATTCTCCTTCTCAGTAAAATAAGAATTAAACATAGATTATATATCTAAACATAGTTTACCCTTACATTCCCCTCTTTCAGTAAAACAAGAATTAAACATAGATTATTAAACACTACTTAAATTCATATAGTTTAATTTATTGAGAAACTTCTAGGTACTAAAAGTACTTTAGAGAACAAAATAAACAAAGCCATTAGGGAGCTTATGTTCTTGTGGAGGAATGTTAATATTTAGAATATCATGCCGAGACCGGTTTGGCTCAGTGGATAGAGCGTCGGCTTGGGGACTGAAGGGACCCGGGTTTGATTCCAGTCAAGGGCATGTATCTTGGTTGCAGGCATATCCCCAGTAGGGGGTGTGTAAGAGGCAGCTGATCGATGACTCTCTCTCATCGATGTTTCTAGCTTTCTATCTCTCTCCCTTCCTCTCTGTACAAAATCAATAAAATATTTGGATAAAATATCATGTAGTATATAGTAGGAGATACATTTCGGGGGGGGGGGCAGGAGGTGAAAGAACAGAGTAGAAAGAAAGATTTGGAATGTGGTTGTCTGCAATTTAAGTTAGGTTAGTCAAAGAAGATCACACTTGAGAAGACTTGAAAAGGTGATTTAGTTACTAACATTATTCCAATAATGTAATTATTAATATGCTATACCATCATTTAAAAAAATGCTATAGCTAAAAACTAGAGAAATTAGTTATATCCAAAATCATAAGATGGCTTAGTGAGAAGGGAGACAAAAACTTTGGTCTTTTGTTGCAGATAAAAGGATGTTTTCAACTATGTCACAAAGGTGTGGGGAACAAATATCTTTCTAGTATGTGAATTAAATTCAAATGTCAACTCATGGATGTTCTAAATCCTCCAGCCTTCCCAGATAACTATTATTTATTTATTTATTTATTTATTTATTTATTTATTCCTCACCTGAGGATGTTTTTGTTGATTTTTAGAAAGAGAGGGAGAAAGAGAGAGAGAGGGACATTGACATGAGAGACACATCAATTGCTTGCCTGTGTTGTACAGGCCTGGACTGGGATAGAACCCACAACCTAGGCATTTGTCCTGACTGGGAATGGAATCTGCAACCTCTTTTTGGTGTATGGATGATGCTCCAACCAAATGAGCCACTTGGACAGGACAAACCTTTTTTTAGTATCAGAAACAGGGAGAGGGAGGGGGGGGGAGAGGGTGAGAGTAGAGAGAGAGAGGGTGAGAGGAGAGAGAGAGAGAAGGAAGGTTTTGAGAAATGTCACTGCTACCAGCCAGATTCGTGTACCATTTCCTTGTCTTTGTTCTTACGCCAAGTTCCAGCACCATTCCCACAGGATTTAAAAAGAAAAAAAGAAAGCCTGTTATCTATAAGTGGAGTTTCATTGTCTTTGCCACTTGGTCCTCAGACCTACCCTTTCTATATCCATAAAAGTGCCAGCCAATCAAGAGACCTCTACTATGTGTCATGTCCTTTGCAGTTCCAAGGAGAAGCAGAATCTGTGGATTTTCTGTTTTGTTTATTTTTGTTATTTTGTGTGTGTGTGTGTGTGTGTGTGTGTTTCTTTCATGATATAACTCTTGGATATGGTCCATTTTCATGTCTTCATAAGCAGAAATAAGCATTATATAGAATTATCTTCTTCAAAATAGGAATTATTCAATATACCTCGGGAGGCAAAAATGGCTATAGTCGTTTTGCAGTTTGATACAAAGCAGTAATTCCTGTTCCACTATAACTTGGCGTCACCAGCTTGTGTCCTAGGGACTTGTTAGATAGGCATGCTTGTTGAGAGAAGCACTCTGTGGGAGGACCATTTTCTCAGATGTAAACCACTTAACTCACATTGTGAGGAGTTCTTGGAGAACATTCCCTCCTTGATAATGTCCACAGGAGGGGGAAAAAATTCATCATGTGAAATTATTAGATTAGCCTCTCTGAGCACACTTTTGATCTTGCCACTTCCTTGTTTAAAATCAAAACCAAACCAAATAACATCCATTTACCTTACTACTCTACTCTGCTTCCACTGGACAGCCAAGGCCCATCCTAGTATATTTTCCTCCTTCCTATCCCAGGCCCAAATAAACACGGTATGCATTGTATGGTATTAGCAACATCGTATCTTTTTTTTTTTTTTTTTTTTTTTTTTTTTTTTTTTTTTTTTTTTTTGGATGCTCTATCCTTGCAGGTTCCTCCTGTTGGTAGCATTCCATATCCTCAAACTCCCTTCCTCTTTTCCAATATAATTTACTTGCTCTGTGCACCCTGCAGTACTCTTTTACTCTACAGAAACTTTTAATGAAAATTCTAAATCTAACCTACTTAATAGGGGAGTGTGTATGTGGCAGGTGTAACAACCTTACACTAAAGGAATAAAGTGTTGATGATGGCATTTGTGGCACCTGCAAGAGGGTGTAAGAAATATTGGAGTTTCCTCAAGCTAAAGAAGCATGTTTTCCCTTCCTCCCCACCCCCCCTCATGTTAATATTTCTGTTGTAGGGATGTGCTTTCTAGTTGATGTAGAATTGAATGTATTGGTTCTTTGGTTTTCCCTGAAAAGTTATTAATGAAGTTGATGTTATGCCTTATAATCAGCAAAAACCTTGCATAGAGTGAGCTTTTATAAGAAAGAGGAAGAGAGTTTGAAGACATGGAATTCTACCAATATTCTCTTTTATGCCTTTACTTCAAAGGGTAAAAAATAAAAAATAAGTGAGAGTGAAATGAATACATTGATGCAATGCCTTATAATCAGCAAAATGTTGCAAGCAGAGGCAGACATTTCCTTCACATCCCAAACAATTAACCACTCTGCTTCCCCAGTGTTTTGAAATCCAAGACTAACGAAATTCAGGTAGATGCAGGTTAACTAAAAACAATGAGCAGTACTCATTTGCTCTGCGACTTCAAGCTCCTGGTATTTAACCTGGGAGTATCACTGATGTAATAATAGTGCCTGGAATTAATATTCACCTAATTGTGCAAGTTGTTTATGTGCCTTGTGGATTCAATACTAATACTTAGGTGGTGTTTAAAATAGTCAAGCTTCTGAAAGCCAGAATTTTGATTTTCTGCTGAGATCATTACCAACAAAAACCTGTTATACAACTGGAATACCTTATGATGAAAGTAATGAAAAGCTTTAGGTTAAGGTAAAACTATTAAAGACCTCCTTTTCCTTAACCCAGATCATATCAACTCTGCAAACTTACATACAGCTCTTGGCAAAGGTTTTGCATGTTTATTTGTAGCACATTTCAGCCATCAAAGATTTCTGTGGCCTAATTTAAATTCATGGAGCAAATAGGGAGTAAAGACAGTATCTAGACTAAACAAATAATCAAAGGTTTATTCAGTTACCTGGATCTCAAAAGCAAAAATAGAAATTTTTTATGTTTGATAGGAAATGTTTCTGGCCTTGGGCATAATCAGTATTTTTTCTCTCTTCTTTTTCTTTTTAAATTATTGTTTTAATTTTCTACAATAGCTGTTATTCATTACACTCTATTGACCAGGACTTGTACCTGTAACTTCAATGAGTTAGTTATCTATATAGCTGACCAACTCATACAGATATACATATAGAGATTTTTTAAAATAGGTGAGGGTACTTACAGATTACAAAAGTGAGTACCAAGGAAGGTTGCATCCTACAGGAGTTGGGTGGGGGAGCAAGAAGGGTGAGTCAGGAAAGGCTTTCAGAAGCACAGGAGGCATGAACTAGATTTTGTGGCACTGATAGGCTTTGCTGATGTGGGACTGGGAAAGACCTCTGAGAAGGAAAGCGAAGCAGAAACAACATTGAGCAATTGCCACCAACTGCTTGCTGGGGGGTACTTTAGAGCAATCAACAGAGTTTATCAACAGAGCAGAAACAAGTACTGGTGACTGGATTTCCACCTTCTCTCATTTGTCTTGGCCCTAATTCTAACTAAGCCTTTAGGTACAAGTACTGTAAATTGGTCAAAATGAAGGAGAGATGGAGAAGATCAAGCTGAGGACTACAAACAATTTATAAATTTTTGGTAAGTCTATTTTTTGAAGCCTAGGCTCAAGAGGGAATCAACTGTTAAGTTCAGTATGCTTTCCAGTAAGTCAATAAGGTAAATATTATTTTTTCATTTTAAAGATCAGATAAAAAAAAAGAAAGAGGAAATTTGAGACACGTAAAGACTCATAATAACCCTGTAGGAGCATTATTCCCTTGATCATATGAGTTTCACAAAGGTTAAATGATTTGTTAACACCACCACAGCTCACTGAAGCTTCAGCAGACTTGAGCAAAGGTCTCCTGATTCCTTGGTCTTTGCTCCTTTCCCTCCACACTCATTGCCTCAGGCAAATGCAGGTTCACATCTTCCACCCTTCCTCACTCAGGACTAAGACACCACTGAGGGGGTTGTGTTTGCATTTTACAGATTCCATTTGCCTAATTTAAAATGCTGAGGTAGTCAACCTGTATCACCTCTGTTTCCCAGTAATGTTTAACCTTAAGGTTTTTTTTAAAATCTAGGAGATAAAAGAACATGTTATCTGGCAAGTCCACTCCACCTCCAATTCCCCACCCCCACCTCCCACTTGGTTATTAATTTCAGAACACATCTGAATTCTTTCTTTGTGGCATTTGCTTGAGTGGAAGAACAGACAGCTCCAGGTCAGGAGCAGATTTCAAGTTCTCATCTGTTGGTGCCAACGCCATTACCAGATTCCTCTCTGTAGTCAACCTTTGAGATCTTCCCTGAGTGCAACTTGGTATCTGAAGATCCACAAAGGTCATTGTTCTCTTCACAAAATCAGTCTGCTCTTTCAGCAAAGCATCTGCTGTTCTGAGCTTTGCTGCTGGAAGCAACTTTTCCCTGAGATCTGGTCGAAAGCAATTCTCAGGTGTCCAACTTCCCAGCATGGAGGTGAAGAACTTTGCGGCTTGGGATTATGTCGTATTTGCAGCCCTTTTTATCATTTCTTCTGGAATCGGGGTGTTCTTTGCTATTAAGGAGAGAAAGAAGGCGACTTCAAGGGAGTTCCTCGTTGGGGGAAGACAAATGAGCTGTGGTCCCGTGGCATTGTCTCTGACAGCCAGCTTCATGTCAGCTGTCACTGTCCTGGGGGCCCCTTCCGAGGTCTACCGCTTTGGGGCCTCCTTCACACTCTTCTTCATTGCGTATACTTTTGTCATCATCTTCACATCAGAGCTCTTTCTGCCTGTGTTCTACAGATCTGGCATCACCAGCACTTATGAGGTAAGACAACTCTCCCCCTATTCTTTGTTTTGGGAGGAGGCGCTATTTTCTCTCCACTTGATCACTCTTTTGTTGTTTTTGCTTTTTCCCCCTCTAATAATACACGCCTTCTTAACGATAATCTGTGGTAATTGAAATATACTCATTTATTTTTAGGAAAAAATATTACAATGCTATTGGGGAAAGCTTAAGCTTTGGATACAGACATACCTGTCCTTTTTTCTAGAGTACGAAGTCATAGAGCCAACCCTAGGACGATATTTCAATGATTAAATGAGAACCTGTGTATGACTACTGAATGCATTGCCTAACTTTTAAGAGCTTCTCAATGAGAGAGCTAAAGTTATTATTTATATTATTATTAACGTATTCTGTGTGTTATGAATGTTGTCATTTTCCACAAGTAAACAGATAATACAGGTGAATGATTGTATAGTGAGTCAAGCCTACTGTGAACCCAATTTGTCTGTATCTCTTTCCATAAGATAGTAGAGTTGAGCACTCTACTACAAATTATTACTATGCTCCAGTTTTTAGTGGGGAAATGATAATGTTTTTAAAAATTAGAGAATATTTTAATGAGAAAGAATTGCTCAATTATACAAATGTGGGGATTATTTTAATAAGAAGAGGTAGTCATGTTTTGACTTTGCAATAATTCTTAAGAAAAATATGGAGATAAAAATTGATTTTGTACCTCTAATATTTGTGATAAATATTAGTTTTTATGAGGAAAAAGTGTTTATTTTCTTTATCAAACATCCTTACTAAGTCACAGCAGAGGACTCTTAACAGAAGAGAAATGTTTTTCTTTTTTGTGTGTGTTTTTATAAATTTTGTAAGCGAAATGATTATTAAATTAGTATAGAAATAGAAAAATATTTACAATATTAGTGCCTCCATGGGACAAACATGGGTTGAAGAAGCTGATTACTTCTTATTTTAAAATATATTTACATATGGGAATTGCCTATACGGTTTTAGTATATAAAATTAATTTATAAAGTTTGTTGCCCTCTACATCTTTTTTTAATTCTCTAATAGTAAGAAATCAAAGTTATGCAAAGTACATATGGAGTTATTTTGGGATTGTCTTTTGCTCTATAAGAACTGGCATAGGAATTAAAAGTATGGACTCCAGATTCAAGTCTATTTGGCTTTGAATGCTAGCTGGCTCTGCCATGATTTTGGGAAAATGACTTAATTTCTCTGTACTTGATTTTTACATATGTGAAATCGTGATGATGAAATCACTTATTTCGAAGGACATCTCTGAGGAGTAAATGCAAAACCTTTTTTTATTATTATTTTTTTCCCAATTATAGTTGACATTCATATGCAAATACTTTTAATACATCCTGGCAAACAGTAAATGCTACATAAAAGTTTTGTATTATTATTGTTGTTGGCACTGTCCCCATATTTATATTATGATTTAGTCTATCTATTGAAGCTTGAATTTGTTTCTTTGTTCATCATCCATTCCCTGTCCCATAAATATTCTTTCTGGGATCTTTTAAAGCACTAAATATGGGAGGGGATAGAGTCTTTTCCCCCAGCTCTTGGCCTTGTGGTTTGTTTTGACCAACAGGATGTGGCAGAAATTATGTGTTTAGCTTAGGCTTCATTAGGCTCAAAGTTTCTGTCTTTGTTTTTCTGGATTGCTGTCTTGACACTGCTATAACAGGAAGCTGTTTAAGGTGGTCTAGCTTCTGGGGCATGAGTGGAAATACAGAGGGAAATAGAGACACCCTAGTCACCAGCCATGGCCAACTAACAACCAGAGGCTTCAGTGAGGCCATCTTGGACCTTCTCACCTGGCTGATCTTCCAGTTGATTCCAACCCCATGAGAGCTCAGGGAAAACAAGTAGAGGAATCACTCAACAGATCTTCAAAATTATGAGAAATAATAAATCCTTTATTTTTAAGCCCATGAGTTTTGGGGTGGTTATTAGATGGCAGAAGCCAATTAATTTAAACGCTTTGATATACAGTGGGATTTCAAGACTAAGATATGCCATCTGTGCTACTTTATCACCATCCTGTCCCTTGTCAAAGCATAAGGAATTGTTCTCACCCTCAAGTTATATATTAGGTTCCACTCATTTGCAATATTATACATTTTCATTATCTACACTTAGTTTATAATTAGTCTCATCATGCTGTCTCCACTTTAATTTATGTTATTTTTTTCTCTTTTTAATCACAAGCTAATAAATCCAGTTTATTATTATTTATATCTAACACTAGTTTAGAGGCTGGTGTCTGGTCTACATACTTTCTCATTTTTCTTGGACTTATTAAACTAAATGACTTCTAAACTCCTTTCTCTTCAATTCAAACTTTTTTGTTGTAAGAATACACAGGATATTACTTTTGAATATCTTCTTTTATAGTGGTTTTAAGCATTATAGATGACTTTTTTTGTAAATTTATTTCCTTTTTAGTTCTCTTTAAGTTAAATTCTGGAACCATAGCACTTATATTTAAATTATGAGAAATTAGATGGACAGGTATATGATATCACTATTGAATCTTATTTTAGCATAGTAAATGATATTATAAAATCTTTGTTGTGAAATAGATATTTAGGGTCTGATAGGGTCTTAACCAATGTTATGAAGCCTTTTAGGTCATTGTAAGAATTGATTTTTACTGTGATATGGGACATTGCCATGATTGGGCAAAGGAGTGGGATGATGGGATTTGTATTTTGAGTGTTACACTACCTTGATATTGAGAATGATTATAGGGTTTTTAACTGCTGAACCTATTTATAGGGGGTCTAATTGGTAGGGTATTGCTATAATCTAGACAAAAGATGATGGTATTATAGTGGCAGCAGAGGAGAAAATGCAAATAACTGTGTTTTGAAATTGTGAGTAGGCCCCATGATTATTTTATAAACTGGATGTAGACAGTGAGAGAAAGTGAGGAGTAACCATGCTCCATGTTATATGGGCTTGAACCAACATGGAAAATTGACTTGCTATTTCCTGAGATGGAAAAGAATGTGACTAAATCAGGTTTTGGGTTTTGAAAATAATCAAACATTATGTTAAATGTTACCTATGCAAACCCAAAGCATGCCACTTTTTTTTGTTGAACTTCCATTTTACTTTTAACTGCAGTAATAGCTATGACACAGCAAAATGGCCATTTAATGCTCTGAAAAAGTCAATGCCTTCTTTCATATGTGAAATTATACAGTTGGAACAGTCTCTCTTATTTCGCTGATGAGAAACCAGATGCTTAGGACAATAAGTGAGATAGTGGCAAAGTTCAAAGTAGAATTCAAGGAATCTTTTCATTTATTTAGGATTTTTCCCCCCCATATATCTTTTTCTCCATACCATATTTATAGCTTTACTGAGATAAGAAAAGAATGGATCAGACAATAAAAGGTTTGGAATATAAAGCATCCACAATGCAGAATAAAGATTTTAAGAAAAAGAGGGACATAAGCAGAGTTCTATTAAGAGAAGCAATGTGGCTGATAGAATGGTGGGAAGGATTGAAATTCAGGTCAGTTATGAAGCTACTACTCTAGTCTGTAAAAGATGAAATAAAGGCCTGAAGTGAATTTTGGAGCAATAGGAGCATAAAAGGTGATGATGGCTTTAGTATATCCAGTAGGAAAATCCTGAGTAGCAAGCCAGAATGCTCATTTTCTTTTTTCTTTTTAAGCAACCTATTTATCTTCCCTGACTATCTTGAGAAGCTTGAACAGGTATTAAGCTTTGATATATATTTGACTTTAAAGAATCCATATTCTTTCTTGTTCTGCCATGTATATAGCATAAAAACACACATGATAAATCCAAAGCACTGAACTCAAAGGAATAACAACAACAAAAAAGAAACTTCTCTATGTAAGACTCACTGACTCTTTGCACGTTCTTTATTCTCTCTAGTACTTACAACTACGATTCAACAAAGGAGTTCGCTATGCAGCAACAGTCATCTACATTGTGCAGACGGTAAGGATAAGGGCAGCTACAAATGTGGAATTGTGGGTGACAAGATACAGGTTAGTCTATTTCTGGGCATAGTTAACTCAATTAAGAGAGAAATTTGATACTAGGAAGAAACTAATTTCTTTTAAGGTTAACTCTTTTGAGATATGTGATTACATCTAGTTATCCATTGCATATACCCCATATATACATACAAATAATAGCAAACCAATATATATATGAACATCAAAGAAAAAGCAAAGCATTTTCTTAATATTTACTTCAACTATTTTTTTAAATCTATATACATTGCTTTGGATATGAAGATATGAAATGGTCTGTTAGCTGATTAAGGAAAAATCTAGTTAACTGAGTTGAGTCAGAAATACTCGTTTTGTTGAAAATTATTTGAAGACAATATTTCCAAACCAATACTCCCACTTTCCCCTTCTGGACTCCTCTCTCCCCTCCCAGGCTCTGGGGAGCCCTCATGCAGCCTCAGTTTGCACGTGGCACACCTTTGGTGAGTTTCGTGCTACTCACCAACCATGTTCTGCTGAAAGATAACCTTCTTCCTGTTTCTTAATCAAAAGTCCTGTTCACACAGGCTGAAGGATTTGAGAGAAATAAAAGGATGAAAAGAATGATCTATGATCTGTTCATAGGTGTTTACCTTTTAAAGCCCTCACATAAATCTCTAACTGGTGAAATTTCATTTAAAATGAAATGGCACTGCACCCACTTGCATCAGCGCAGTGGTCGCAGTTCTGGGAGTTAGGACCCACATCATTAGTCTTCTCTGCACAGTACTTCCTCCTCACAGATGCTTTCCATCTTCCTAAAATCCATACTTTACAAACTGCTAAAACACATTTGTGTCATTGTGATATGTGTATGAGGGGAGAGGGGAAGACAAGGAGAGGGAGAGAGGGAGACTGAATAAAAAACTTAACTTGAAGCCCATTTTTCTACCCTTTAGAAACACACCGGATCTTGCTATAAAATACCCAAATTTGCAACAATCTTAAGAAGCCGAACCCTATTATTCCTCCACCTAACACATATACCCCTTCTGCAGACAAGTTACAGTGGTCAGCAACTTTCAAATTAGAGGGGATGGGAATGAAATGCTTGATGAACAAGTTGAAGGAAATTGGTTTCTAAGGTCAATAAAAAACTTTCTAGGCAGCTTTCCTTTCCATTTCACCTCTCAGTGTTTACCTCATGCTTGTTTCTCCACCAGATTCTCTACACAGGAGTGGTGGTGTATGCTCCTGCTCTGGCTCTCAATCAAGGTGAGTTATCGACATTTCCTTGGGTACATTCCACTGCGGTTATGCCTGCATGCTGGCCTTGAGAAATACACGCAAAACATCTTGGTGAGGCATTCCTGTGTTTGGGGTGCCCTGAATACCGTGGGAGTCACAATATAAACCTCTCAAAGTTGAACATTGAAAGTAATGCAAACAATGAGTTACCTGATTTTGCTCACGTGGTCCAAAACACACAGTTTAATTAATTGTAATCACTATAATGATGGGAGCTTTGGTATTATACATGCACAACCTCTACGTAAGATCATCCATAATATGGGGTGATTTCTCAGTGGTTTCATAAAGCAGATAATCTGAGTATATAATAAGTGGTGCTTGTAGTAATTGCTTCAATACTTATTCTTGACCCTTTTTGAGAGAATAGAATCCCAGAAACAAAAAAGAAAAAGAAAGTGAAATCAACTTTATAATGGCATCCCTGATATTTGGAAGTTCTCAATATTCAATGTAATTATGCTATCTGCTTATATTCAGAAATATCAGTTCTGATATTTGGCTAATGTTTATTTGGTTTTAAAGTACTCAAAGTAACTTAAAAACAAAACAAAAGACAAATCATTGGTGCATATCAGAAGCTTCAGAATTTTAGGAAGAAAAAGTTGGCTTTTAACATTACATGAAATTTATGGACTCAATCAAAGTATAAGAATGTAATAAAATAATCTTTGTCAAAGTGAGAACATTCAAGAGAAAAAAACTCTAATTTGGTTTTCATTAGCCTACAAAGAACACTGACAAAAATATTGTTACTTTTTACTTGTAAAGCTTATTCTTTTGCTTTTCTCAGAAAAACTTCTTTCAATATTCTTTCTCCTTTTGTAGTGACTGGGTTTGATCTCTGGGGGTCTGTGTTTGCAACAGGAATTGTTTGCACATTCTACTGCACTCTGGTAAGTATCTAGCTTCGTAAAGGGATTTAGCGCTATCTCCTAACACGGGATAAGGGCAATCTCCAGCAGCAGCACATCTAAATATAGAAATTGCTCTTCTAAAATTTAGTAGAAGTATGCTGGCTTATCTGTTGCAGTTTCTGAGGTAAGTGCTGATGTTTTACTTAAAACTATTTTTGGTATCAACCATTCGTGGAATTTAAGCTCTGAGCTCTTTTGAAAAAGCCACAGCTAAGAGGAGATTTAATGAATAAAGTACCTCGTTGATTAAGTGACCAAATGCAATTTCTTTTTAATTTTTAGTACTTTTTATTGATTTCAGAGAAGGGAGAAGCAGAGAGAGATAGAAACATCAATGATGAGAAAGAACCATTGATTGGCTGCCTCCTGAATGCCCCCTATTGGGGGGTGAGCCTACAACAGGGGAAAGAGCCCTTGACCAAAATCGAACCCGGGATCCTTCAGTCCACAGGCCCATGCTCTATCCACTGAGCCAAACTGTTTAGGGCCCAAACTTAATTTCTGAGAAAAATATAAATTACTCAATTATAATGATTATAAACCATGGTTAGAGTTTATAATTCACTGTGTAATGGTTGAGAAATACAAAATGCATGCATGTATGAGTAAGCAAGAATGGCTGGTATTTTATAAACCTGAGCATGCCACAGCTTGCTTTTATCTCTTATTTGTGGAGCTACTATGATAACATTTAACATTTAGCTAATCAAGAAACCTGGTTGTGATTGGCAACATTTATATAATTGCTATAATTCATTTAGTTCAACAAACTTTCACTGAGCACGTATTATTAGCTATGCCCTCCCTGCCATGGGAACCTTTTTTCTTCTAAGCCATTGACATCATTTACAGAGTCTATAAGTATCCAGCTAAGAATACAACAATGGGTCCTAGATAGCTGGATTCTCTTTCCTCCTTTTTTGTAGAGAACAATAAAGTACTTGTTATATCAATATTATCACATAGCAGGTCTACATGTATTTTGGCATTATGTACATACTACATACTCTTTTAAAATATATGATAAGAATATGCAACTTTTAAATTAGAAAGTATTATAGCTGTTCCCCTTTTCCCCTCCTATTGACCCCCTCCTCCCTGCTCCCTCTCTTTCCCCAGAATATGCTATTTTAAAATGCCCTTATCTGTCTTTTATCATATTTGCAGACCTCACCAGTTGTTTACACTACAAAGTTTCCATTCTGTTCTCTCTGCCTTCCATTCCAGACACACTTCTCCCTAAGTTAAAAATAGACTCATGCTCCTTAAGCATCTGGCTTTATCTGAGATTAGTTGCTCTGAGGTACCTGCCTATTTAGTGATGAGGAGATACGGTGATAGGGATGCTAAAGATTGACTTCTTAGCAACAGCAGTGGAACACAGAAAGAGTGGAATAACATATACAAAGCAGTGAAATAAAACAATTATCAACCTATAGTTGTGTATTAACAAAATGATATTTTAAGAGCTGACTGTCAAGAATCAAGAAAATTTACCACCACCCAGCCAGTGTTGCTCAGTGGTTGGGCATTGACCTATGAACCAGGAGGTCACGGTTCGATTCCCACTCAGGACACATGCAGAGGGTTGCAGGCTCTATCCCCAGTGTGGAGAGTGCAAAAATGAGCCAATCAATGATTCTCTCATCATTGATATTTCTAGCTCTTTCTCCTCTCCCTTCCCCTCTGAAATCAATAAAAATTTACTTAAAATAAAAATTCATGGCAAAATTTCAAGGGAACTCATTTAAAGAAAATGATCAAAGTGGGAAAATGGAATTAAAACAAAGCAAAACCTCAACTGATTTAAGCAAGAGAAGAAAAGAGAGAGAAACACACACACACACACTCACACACACAGAAAAAGTAGAACAAATAGAAACCAAAAAGATATCAGAAACAAGTCAGGATAGTTTAATCATCACAGTAAATTAAAATGAACTAACTGAACTACTAAATTGGTGTCAGTTCTTCCCTCTATCCTGCAAGCTTCTGGAAAATTAAAACATCCATTTCTTCATGCCACTTGACTGACCTAATTCTCCCCATTGTTTACAGGATCAAGCATAAGCTTCTTAGCCTAGTGTTGAAAGTCTTTCATTATGTGAATAAATCCACCCTTCTACTCTCTTCCTACCACACCTTTGTCCCTTCTCCACACTCTAGCCAGGTTAGCGGCTCCAGTGTCTAAATGATGGGTTCTCTAACACATTTGCTAAAGCATTTCACAGTCTCTTTACACTGATAGTCCCATGGTTGCATAGCCTATGACAACCAGGGAAGATATTAAAAGAATAAGAAGTGATTCCTGTCACCCAGGAGTATGCACTCTAGTAACATAAGCAGTGGTTGCAATCTAGTATAATAAATGCAACCTGGGAAAGTAAGCAACACAGGCTGATTGAATATTTAAGAGACACTCATGGTACAATGATGAAGCCTGTCATCTGTTCACAGAAGTTTTTGACACTATGGAGGAGTAAGAGGGGAAGGTAATTCTATTTTTTATTGTTAAAAATACCACATGTGTTCATGCTCATAGTGCTATTCGTTTTCAAAGCTTTTTTATTTTTATTTATTTATTTTTATATCTTTATTATTGAAAGTATTATGCATGTCCCTCCTTTCTTCCCATTAACCTCTTCTAGCCTGCCCCACCCCCAGTCTCAGGCCTTCAACACCCTATTGTCTGTGTCCATGGTTATGCACATATGAATACTGTACAAGTTTATTGGTTGATCTCTTCCTGCCCACCTACCCCTGCCTTCCACTTCATTCAATCTTTCCAAATTTGCTTGTTCCATCTTCACCATTTTTCTGAGGGACTTTATACCTAGGTAATTCCAGCAGCCTCTTTCTTTCCTGTTTTCTTCTGGTCCACATGCTCTCAATTAGATAAGTACATTAGAATCACTTGGGGATTGTTCAAAAAAACACTGAGGACTGATTTCTAACCCAGACCTCAATCTCTCCCCCCGCCTTCAGGGGATGGGGCTCAGACATTGTTTTTGTTTGTTTGTTTGTTTATTTGTTTTCAGTTTCTCCAAGTGACTAAAGAGGAGCCAGGTTTGATAATCACCTTTCTAACCTCTTGTCCAATCACACTGCATTAAATGCATCTTCCTGACACTCTAGTTTGCTCACCTCACTATTTGACCAGACGCCTGCTCTTAAAACTCCTTTCTTCATTAATATTCAGATTCTATCATTCCTTCCTAGTTCTTCTCTTCTTTCTAACTATTCTACCATCTTGGCTTTCCTAATTCTATTCACTGTCACTGCAAAAGAAAAGAAATCTCAGGTTGCACAAGTCAGACATGGATGATCATCCTCAATTTCCTCCCTTTCTCCTCACATGTATTCAAGTAATCACAAGCTATGTTGGTTTTACCTCCCAAATACCTTGTAATCCATGAGCTTCTATTTCTTCAATTTTAGTCATTTTGCACATGGACTACTAAAATAACTCTGAATTGGACTCTCAACTCCTCTTTTCCTGTGGTCCTTGCAATCTCTTGTCCACACAATCATCACTGCAACTACTGTGAAACAAGCAAAAGCTTTCATTATATAAATCTATTTCATATTCTTTTATTACTCTTGAGAAAACATTTAAGTGGCCTTGTCAAAATCTGGCCTCTAGCAGATTCAGCAACCTCCCTTTGGGAATTCTATATATTCTTCAATCTGTACATTCTAGCTGTCTTACTTCTTCAGGCAGCTTCTCCTTGCTTTACACATACTGCTCCCTCTCTTCATTGTCCTCTGTCCCTGATAAATTCCTACTCACTCTTCAGAATTTAGCCCTAATGACACTTTCACAAGACCAGGTCAGGACTCCCTGCTCTGTGCTTTAGTAGGAACCCTTCCTTTTTAATTGCATTTTCCACAATTTTAAGTAAAAGGTTACATTATTGTCTAGTATCTACTTCTCCCATTGGATCCTAACTCTGAAATTAAGGAAGAAATCTGTCTCTTCACCCCATGCTTAACATCATAGTTGTCAAATAAAAGAGGCTCAGCAACTATGCTGAAACAAAAAAAGGAGAAAAGGGAGGAAGGAAGGAAGGAAGGAAGGAAGAGAGGAAGGAAGGAAGGAAGGAAGAGAGAAGAAAGAAAAAAATATGGATCATATTTACAGCGGTGGAAGGTTGCAGGCTTCATGTTTAGAACTGTCACCCATTCTCTCCATTTCAGGGAGGCTTGAAGGCAGTGGTGTGGACAGATGCATTCCAGATGGTGGTCATGATTGTGGGCTTCTTAACAGTCCTCATTCAAGGATCGGCTCAAGCTGGTGGATTTCACAATGTGTTAGAGCAATCAAAAAATGGATCTCGACTAAATATAATTGAGTATGTCCAGTGCTATTTTTTCCATGTTTTATAAAGATTTAGTTCAATGACCCAATCCCCTTACAAAAATCTTTGTTCACTCACTTCTCTCTGCCTCGTAGCTTTGATGCCGATCCTCTCAGGCGGCACACTTTTTGGACCATCTCAGTGGGAGGAACTTTTACATGGCTCGGCATCTATGGAGTTAATCAGTCAACCATCCAGCGATGCATTTCTTGCAAAACAGAGAAGCATGCCAAGCTGTAAGTTGTGATTAAAGAGACATCTTTGTGTTTTCTCTGGCCTTATTGGGTACTCATTATATGCTTCCTAATGTTGTGTGTGTAGAAAAGAATCAGAAAACAAGATTTATTTACTCCTTTCAACAATATTTTGAAGCATGCATTACTATTTCCATCTCAGCAAGGAAGTGGTAGAGCTAGGGTTTGACCTTATTAGTCTGTCTACCTTTGTTCTCCATCATTTTCTGCCTCCATTTATTGAGAAATTACTAGGTTAAATTAGCTGTAGGTAGAGGGTGATGCCGAGGTAAACAGCATGTATTTCTTACAGTTTCTGTGATGAGTTGACCCTTATTACTGATTTGATTCAGCATGGATATACCTTTAACATTCCCAAGGAGACATTGATAAAGAAGACAACCCAAGGTAATGAGGCAGGTCAGAATGGGGCTCTCGGTGCTCTAAGTCCTGCCAGGATATCCTTACCAGGCCTACTCTCTCCGAAGGACTCCAGCAGGCAGATAGCTTGTCAAGCCTTTTCCAGGCCCTGCAAGCCACCCTCCCAGCCTGTACCCCTACTTCCCCCCCCCCCCCCCCCCCCCCCCCCCCCCCCCCCGCCAGCTCTCCAGTGGGGATCAAAGGAAGGTACACACTGATGCGAAACTGGTAGAAACAAACTAGCATAGCTTCTGAAAGATGCATTTCATCCTCATTGCTGCTGTCTAAGGTTCCAGACTCCCCTGACCCGCCAGAATACCCTCAACTTTTCTTAGAGTGAGAAAGAGTCACTGAATATTCCTGCAACTGATTTTAAAGTACTGTCAATGCACAGTTTCTTCTATAGACTGAAAAAAAGATAAAATTGCCTGGACATGGCTTACCATTTTGTGACTTGCATTCTAAAAGGTAATATATCGCTTTACATATTTCACACATTCTTGGCAGTGAAAGTATTATCTAGTGTTCCAGCAATTCACTAGTAAGATATTTATATCCTATGATAATAAATAGTATTAACAAATCCTCTACACACATGATTATCACTTTATCCAACAGCTGAATCTAAAAATGTATTTAAGATCAAATGTGTATTTGATCTTGATATTCATATAACATTAACAATCGTTTAAAATTCTGCTTTAAATTGAACTAGAATTGAAGGCATAGTTTCTCTGTTAGCACTACTAGTAGGAAGTGGTGCTCTGAGGGTAGGAGGAGTTGATGTAGGTTATCAGAACCCTTCCTAATACCATCCCATCTCCCAGCTAAGATGAGCACATCCAAGCACTGTCACTTATTTTCTATTCCCATTGCCTTTGTTTACTTTCTTTATATTTCTTATCACATCAAAAATAATCTCACTTATTTAATTGATGCCAGCAGTTATTGCTTGCCTCCAGTCCTAGAATATCCCATTCCGTAAGGGTGGTGTCTGTGTGCTCACTGCTCTATCCCAAGAACTCAGAAGAAGCTGGTACACAGATTTGCCTGGATGGAGGAATAGTGAGAGCACAACCAATGCAATTCATAAGTATCTGTCACCTTATGTATCAATTCTATCCCCAAAAGGCTCTCTCTAATTCAAACCTCAACCAACCAAAACAAACAAGTAAAACTCAAAGGTAAACATTGTTAGATTACTACCAAAGAAGCAATTTTTGAGGTAAGACCCTTTGCTAATGTAAATCATATAAAATAAAAAAATTTTCAATAAGATAATTATTTAACATATTTGCTAAATAAACTTAGCAAATTTATTCATAAATAAATACTTTGAAGGATTTTGTGAAAGTTGAGTGTAGCTGTACAACACAGGTTTTTAGGGGACTTTGAAATGAATGTGTGTCCTTACAGTTGAATGTGGATGGACTTAATTCCCTTCAAACAATGAGTGGTTCCAAGAAAATGCTCACTGTTGCTCTCCTGGTCCCTGCAACTAGAGACAGATTGAGATTTATTTTCTCAGACCAATGTAAGGTTAGCCTAACTTCAAGTCTCCTTTGAAATTAAGAAAATGAATAATTGATTTTCAAAGGCCAGTAACAAATGCAAAATAACCACAAATGCTGCAAAATTATATGCATACTTATCATTAAACATATCTGTGCATCACAGAATAAAACAAATAGCTCCAAAAAATATAGGTAAAATGACCTTGGGCTTTTCATACTTTCTATTATCTCTTTAAAAAACACTACAACTTTCATCTGAATTAATTTCTAAAGTGTGTATCTCCAAAACTTGTCTATGCCTACATTTATCTTCTTATCCCTCTGGAAGAAAATATGTTAAAATGTAAGTTGGCTTTTTGACAGTTTTGTTAATTGAGTGGAAAAAACATCACTTGAAGCTATATATGAGTGATTGTTGTGTGAAATTTCATCTAAGAAAATAGATCTCACACCACACATTGAGGTCTTGAAAAAAAAAACAACTCCCAATTTCCAAAGAAAATCCATCAAAAAGCTATTTCATTCAACTTTTGTAATCAGTCTAAAAAATGTAATGTACTCAAACACATAGAAAAGCAAAAATATAAGACATAATAATTCTTGAAGACTGTAGAATTTTATTTTTAAGCAAAAGGTGCCCCAAAGATTTACTGTGAGTGTTTGGTGATGACCTTCCCAATGATATAGCATAGTGGCTACCAATAGGCCCATTTGTTCTTTTTTAGGGCCTTGTACTTCAACCTGGTGGGTCTCTGGATTATTCTGGTGTGTGCTGTTTTCTCTGGGTTGATCATGTATGTCTACTTCAAAGACTGTGACCCTTGGACTTCTGGCATTATCTCAGCCCCAGACCAGGTAGGCACATGTTCCCTTGAGCCTGTGGCAATGGCAGAAATAAGCCTGTTTCTAACCATTGGTAGGTAATGTGAAGTCTTTCTCCCTTCTCCTCCTCCTCCTCCTCCTCCTCCTCCTCCTCCTCCTCCTCCTCCTCCTTCTCCTCCTTCTTCTTCTATTGTTTGAATCATTACAATTAGTAGTACATATATCTCCTTCCCCTCCCCCCACATCTCCCCCCAGCTACCCCTACCCCCCCCCCGCATATGCCTTCATCTGCCCTCCCCCTCCCTGACCCCCCAGTGTCTTGTATCCATTGGTTATGTTTATATGCATGCATACAAGTCCTTCAGTTGATCTCTTACAACCCCCATGGGTTTTTCTCTTTTTCACCTGGATCTATAGCCACTTTTCACACCCCAAAAACTAGATGTATTTCCTCTCCTCTTGGGTGATATTACCACATATGAGGTTCTAATATAAAGGAATAAACATGTAAAAAGAATGTACCTCACCTTGCCCTTAAAGACAAGCCATAGACTAGGACAAGGCTGAAGAGAGGAAGAAGGTGGGATTAACGAACGGGTTTGGTTGTCAATGCTACCAAAAGGTTGTGGGTTCAATTCCCAGGCAGGGAACATGTCTAGATTGCAGGTTCAGTTCTGGCTAGGGCATGTGTGGGAAGCAACAGTTTTATGTTTCTCTCTCTCTTTCTCATTCTCTCCCCCTTCCTCTCTCTGAAATCAATAAACATATCCTCAACTAAAGATTAAAAAATCATTTAAAAATGTTTTTTAAAACCTCCCTTTGTGGACAATATGACCCCCTATATATTCAACTGTCTTACTATATCCTATGGGTGCTGCTCTCTCACAAATCTAACTACAGAGTAGAACTGTAACACCTAGATTCTCTGAAGACCTGGGTATTGGTTTTTTGTTTTATTTTTAATATATTTTTATTAATTTCATAGAGAAAGGAAGAGGGAGAGAGAGATAGAAACACCAATGATGAGATAGAATCATAGATTGGCTGCTTCCTGCACACCCTCTACTGGGGATAGAGCCTCAATTGGGGCATGTTTCTGGGAACCGAACTGTGACCTCATAGTTCATAGGTCATCCCTCAACCACATGCCATCTGGTCTAAAGACCTGTTTTAAGCATTTGTTTCTAGGGTTTAATTGCTAACTTCAACAATAAACAGAAAACATCATACTTTTCGAAGAAAAAGAAAAAAAATTCAAGTTTATGAATCTTCCAATTTTTGTCCAGCCCGTTTTCCTAGTACTAACTGTCTCTTTTCTACTCCTTCCACACCCCTATAGCTGAACCTTAGGTCCATGGAGTTGGATGGATCATAACCCCATTTGCTAGTATGCAGCTACCTTAGTCCAGGCAACTCCTCTATTATTATTACTTCTGTTTGTTTTTTTTTTCACCTTCTTTTGTTAAAAGGCTATGTTCTCACATTTCAGTCAATTCTGATGAGACCACTAATCCTATCTTGTTTGCCTCCTCTTCAGCTGATGCCATACTTTGTCATGGAGATATTTGCCACAATGCCTGGGCTACCAGGACTTTTTGTGGCTTGTGCCTTCAGTGGAACTCTGAGGTTAGTGCTGTGATAATGATGGAGACTGTGAGGATGATAAGGGGATGGTGGTAGTAATCACTAGTATTTACTGAATACTTACTCTGTGCCAACTGCCCAGCTAAATGCTTTATTTGTATTTGCTCATTAGTTGCCACACTTTACATGTGACTGAAACTTAAAACTTATTATCATCAGTTTATAGATAAGAAACTGAAATTTAGCAAGGTAGCTAAAACTTACTCAAAGGGTCCTAGTAAACTGCAAGAGCAGATGTAAGCCTAGGTCTGAGCCTACACTAGACCTCTCTGGTTATTTTCTCAATCTTGTCTGGTGCCCATTCTCCCACAATTTCACATCACCTTATCACAAGGCAGCTCACTCGGTGGCATTTATCATTCAGCACATCTATCCTTTGCAATCTATTCTCCCCATTTTCAGTAGCACAGTCAGGCAGCTAATAACTCCCATCCTTCACAGGTAGACATTGTTCTAAATACAAAATTATTCACACATTTATTTAGACTCACAGTTTAGAAGGTTTATACCAGGTATTATACCAGACACAGTTGAAGACTGTGGGGATGGAGGGATACTGCACAGAAACAAGACTGACATTGCCCTCATATGGAGTTTGTATTCTCATTGACGTGGGAGATAGCCAATATGTAAGTGAACAAAATAAAGGAGATAAAGGAGATATAATTTGATAATGGCAGCTTAAAGGAAATAACAGAGTGATATCTGAGAGAGGTGAAGCCTGGGGGTTCTATTTTTAATAGGGTCTTTAGCGATCTCCCCTTTGAGTCAGTGACTTTTGTGTTGAGATCCAAAGCATGTGAAACAGCCAGCTATTGAAGAGCATGGGCAGGAACCTGTACAGGCAGGTAGAAGAGCAAATTCCAAAGTCCCTTCCCAACCCTCAAAGAGAAGCTGCATGGGATATTTTAGGAATGAAAAGAAGTGTTAAAGCACGAGAAACTGGGAGGAGAAGAGAGTAGACAGTGATGAGTCCGAAATGGAGAGCAGGCATCAGATCATGGAGAACCTTCATGAAATGGCAGAGTTGGCACTTCAAATGAAATGGGCAGGCATTAGAAGGTTTGAAGCAAGAGAGTGAGTGATGTCACACAGTTAAGACTCAGTTTTCCATGTGGGGAAGGGACTATAATAATAGCATGGGTGGTGCAAGTGAGTGACCTGTTAGGAGGCATTTGTCTTAATTCAGGTGAGAGAGGATAGTGACTTGGAGAAGGCAGGGGCAACTGTGTTAGGAGCAATGCTCTAAGACAGTAAGATAGTGTCAGTTCTTCCCTTTAAGCCACACCCACTGTCGTCCTCCACATGTAGACATTATTCTAAATATAAAATTATTCAGACAAATGGTGTAGAAGGTTAATTATGATGTCCCTTTATGAATCAGAGACTACGCTAGGGGAAAAAGTCTTATATCCTTTTCTGGAGCTCAAATGCAAAGAATAAATTACAGGATTGTTAAAGGCCAATTTGAACATAATTTATCAGGGTCAAAATTCTAGCAGTATCAGATCATAAAAGTAAAAATTTTATATTTTATATCTGAAACCTCTTGTCACAACTATGTTAATCGGTGTTAATGATTTCTTATTAACAAATCAGAACATTTTTTTATTTATGTGAACATATATACCTTTTAGTATACAAAAAGATCATATTTTATATACTGTTTCTTTTTTCAGAACATTTAAAAATATTTATTGAGTTTATTGGGGTGACAATGGTTAGTACAATTATATAGGTTCAAGTGTACTATTTTTGTTTATTTTGGCAAACTGTTATTTATTTTTGTTTTATTTTTTTAATGAAAAAATAAATTATTCTCCATCACAGGGGCTCCAGGGAATTTGTCAGGCCTATACCACACTCACTAGACACCTGCAAGGACCCACTGTCAGTGGAAAACTGTCTTTTATTAATTAAAAAATTTTAATGTTGATATTATTTCAGGTTATACCCTTCCCCCACCCTTTTCCTACCTCCACCCACCCTTTCTCTTCCTCTTTTGGCCCCAAACTATTGCCCTTTCTTTTTTTACAGCCAAGTAGTATTCCATGGTGTAAATGTACCATAGTTTTTAAAAAATATGTTTTTATTAATTTCAAAGAGGTAGAGAGAGAATCATTGACTGCCTCCTGCATGCCATCCACTGGGGATCGAACCCACAACCCAGGCATGTGCCCTGATCAGAATGAACTCTGACCTCCTGGTTCATGGGTCAACACTCAAGCACTGAGCCATACCAGCCGGACTACCACACCACAGCTTTTTTATCCACTCATCTACTAATGGGCACTTGGGCTGCCTCCGGAGCTTGGCTATTGTAAATAACACTGCATGAACATAAGGGTGCATATGTTCTTTCTGATTGATGTTTTAAATTTCTTTGGATATATTCCCAGAAGTTGTATCCCTGAGTCCAAAAGCAGTTCCATTTTTAATTTTTTGAGGACCTAGAACTACTCAAACTGAAATGAGTGGCTTTATTATTCTGCATTATCAAAGAAGAAAAAGTTTCAATTTTCTTTCATACCTTTGGTGCAGCTCTAGCAAGACTCCCAATGTGCAATAGAGGGTAACAAATTAACTACTCATGAACGTCCATGGAAAACTGAAAATAGTTTAATTCATCAGCTTGTTTCTGCTCCAGAACTTTGGCTTGTGGTTATGATTACTATGTGAATGTAATAGGGTTATTTATTCTCTGACTGATATATTCCTGGTCTCTATAAGGAATTCAATAAGATTCCTTGTTATTCCACAAAGGAAACCACAACTTTCAGGCCCTCTGTCACCTAAGTGAATTTTAGAATTCTGATTGGGAAGTCAGAGCCTTCATGAGTTTAGGTCTTTGGCTCCACCCCAGGCTTACCCTTTGTCTTTTACTCTCTTACGAATTACATGGGAGCCACTCTCATGGCTCCAGATTGTTGAATGCAAAAGAAGCTTTTTAGGAATTTAAATGGAATTTTCTTTTTGTTCTAAAACACCATTTTCCTAATTTGCATGGGTTTCTTCAGTGCTTCCCTTAACCATCAATTACTAAGAGGAGAATTTCCTAATTTCATATTGTTTCACTTGAAAGAGTTTTTACAATTGTTATCAATTACTTAATTGGTTGTTAAACTTCCCAGTGGCCAAATGATGTGGGAGATCTTTGTCTTTCTTGTTCACTATTGTATGCCTAGTACCCAGCATGAATAAACAGATGCATGAGTGATATTGATAAATGAATTAAATATTACTGAACGGCAAAGTGAACTGACATCTGGGCTAAGGTAGTCACCACTTCTTGCTTTAAATCCAATCTAAGCTGTCCCCACCGTGCCACCCCCATGCAAACACGCACATGCATAATCTGTTACTCTCTGCTAACTCATTTAATATCTTGTTAAAAGAAATTAGTGGGAGTTAAAACATGAAAACCTAGCTTTTTCAGTGGACTTTGTGGAAGAATTGAGAAGCAACCTTGAAAACTGAGTCAATAGGCCATGTGGTTCCCCTGGAGTTCTGTTTTCCTAGATCCCTTGTCTATTTGCCCTTGAAAACAGGGCTTAGCTTTACTTACTTGGACTATGTTCTTGCTTTTCTCTCCCGTAGCACTGTGGCTGCCAGTATCAATGCCTTAGCAACAGTGACCTTTGAGGATTTTGTCAAGAGCTGTTTCCCCCATCTCTCTGACAAGCTGAGCACCTGGATTAGTAAAGGCTTATGTAAGTATAGCCAGGGGATCTTCATCCATGTCACAAAATGTGTACCTGTGGTACATGTCAAAATCCTGCACATGCTATTCTGGACATATGAGAAATCTCACATACTGAGTCTTATACTTGCAAAGATACAGGGAGGGTACCAGCTTATCTGTCACCATCCTTATTTTTGACCTTCTTTTGTGATTAGCCTACATTTCAGATTCATGATATCAACATCTTTAAAAATATATATATATTTTATTGATTTTTTACAGAGGAAGAGAGAGGGATAGAGAGTTAGAAACATTGATGAGAGAGAATCATCAATCAGCTGCCTCTTGCACACCCCCTACTGGGAATGTGCCCGCAACCAAGGTACATGCCCTTGACCGGAATCAAACCTGGGACCTGTCAGTCTGCAGGCCAATGCTCTATCCACTGAGCCAAACCAGTTTCGGTGACATCAACATCTTTTGATTATGCAATGCACTGTCATATTAGTTCCTCTACATGGGAAGATATTCTGCTCACTGTGGCCAATCACTTTCTAAAACCAAATTCTTTTCTAAAGAATCTGTAGGAATCTCTTTGATGTAGGACTCTCTTTCATGGCCCTCGTGGAAAGAGTTCCAATTCAGGGTTTGGGTTCTGGAGAAGGGCTGCACACAAATGAAGAGACTTGAAGAAATTCAACTTGGCGATATGGGGGCCAGGCGGTAGTCCATCGCTAGTGGGAGAACTACTCCCTGCTCTGGCCCTGCCATCCCCTTTTATTAAGGCTTTGGGAAAAACATCTTAGGCAACATACCGGTAAACAGAAATTTACATGTAGCCCTTAGGCAGGAAATAACAGAAACTTACACAGGACAAACAAGGTGGAGGCTGCTTCAGCTAACAATATCTCAACTAAAGGTTAGAGCAATTAAGGTTGTTGACCAGCCTTCCTGGCTTTCTGTCAACATCTCTTTTTTAGTGAAATTGATTTGTTTTCCAGCAAGAATCCTTTATTTCTCAACTCCCAGTAACCTCACCTTAAATAAGAATTTCTCTTTGTTTAATCATAAATTTGCACATTACATTTTTAATCACAATAACACTTATTATCTTGAATTACACTTTTATACATTTTACTTCTAAGTATAAACAAGCCATATGCTTATTTACTTATTATAGAAAATGTAGGTATTTTGGAAAACATATGAACTTAAAAAGTTATAGCTACCTAATTTTGTTACCATTTTTTAACTTAAAATTAAAAAAAAATTAAGCAAAATTGAATTTCCAATATATATGCCACCTAACTTTGGTTATCTTTTTTAAAAATAAAAAACAGTGGTTCTTTGTGTTTAGTTTTTCTTTCAGATTAAATAATACATTGATGTTACCTAACTGCACTTTGCCCCATGGCATTGCATTAAACCTAAAAATGTATTTGGGAAGAAGAATTGACATTTTTGTAAATTTTACATCTAAATAATAATTTATTTTTTTCATTAAATAATATAACAATTTTGATCCCAGATATTAATTATACCCATGTCTTTTTTCCCTCCTGCTTGGCCCTCCTGTCCTCCTCCTCCTCCTCTTCTTCCTCCACCTCCTCTTTCTCTTCTTCCTTCTTTTTTCCTTCTTTCATTGATGTTATCAATGAGATGCTTTCCCCATATTTCCTAAACTGTTTATGATGAATGTGGACAAGCTATAGCTTTTTGTTTTTGTTTTATAAGCATGTATATTGCCATTTCCCTGACTATTATTGATTTTAAAGAATTTAATTGTTTTTCTAGTAAGTATGGTAATTGCCTGCTAATATTGGTAGTTTAATCATCTCCTTCTTCTCAAATGTTCTTCTCATTTGGGTTGTTTGTTCTCCATTTCCTTTAGTGTTTGTTTCTTCTACTTCCAAAACGTGGCTCTTTTCTTCTGCACACTTAAAGAAATTAAGTGTGTTTTTTTCTGTCAATTTTGAGTTCTCCACAAAATAAAGTTTAACAATAATAATTTTAATTGTGCTATTTATATTTTTTCCTTACATTTTACTATAAGAATTAAGTCGTTCAGCAAGGTTTGGATACTTTTACCATGAATTCCCAATATATATGCCACCTGAATGCTCCATTAATACATTTCCAAACTTACTTTTTCACATATTCATCCAGATCTCTAACCATTCATTAATCACCTTGTTAAAATACATTTCCCCTAAATTTTTGCATTCATATTATTAATTAGAATTCAATAACTGCTTAAAGTTATCTTTCATGCAAAATATATCTTTCAGTCTACAATGAAATGGACACATGTTCAGTATATGTTTGTTAAGTTTTGACATATTCATGCACCTGTGCGATCCAGCCATTAAAGATGTAAAACATTAGCATAGTCCTAAAAATCCTCTTTTGCTCATTCCAGTCAATCCCTGCTCCCACTCCACTCCAGAGGCAGCCATTATTCTGATACTTTCCTCTTCTGGAATTTTACATCAATAGACTCACACAGTCCACGCACTTTTTGTAAGACTCCTTTCACTCAACATAATATTTCTGAGTTTAATCCATATTTTCTTTGTGTGCCCGTGGCCCATCCCTTTCCATGATGAGTAGTTTAAACCCCTCAAAGCGAGTTCTGATGATGGTATTGATATATATTTTTTTCCTTTCAGGTATCTTATTTGGTGTGATGTGTACCTCCATGGCTGTGGCTGCGTCCTTCATGGGTAGTGTTGTGCAGGTAATGAAAGAGGGAAAAGACACATTTATTTCATAGCAACATTTTTACCCATGTCTTTGCTAACGTTTTGTCTATTCCTCCAACCCTCTCTCTGAGGCCAGGTCCAAATTACACATGCATGTAAAATTTCAACCAAAATTACCTGCAGAAGAGAAAACTGTTAAAAACTAATAATGGACTCAGGTACACAGCTATGTGTGTGTGCACATGAGCACTGCCTGCATGATTATGCCTGTGTATATTCAACAAAGCCAGGGAACAGGGCTGTAGGTTGACAGAAAATTAGTTTAATGAAATTATTTTGCCAGTTATCTGGGCTCAATACCTTAGAAACTAAGAGATGTGGAAATGCATTTGTCAAATTCTCTTAGTTTGCAAAAGGGAGCCATAAAAGTGGGATATGGGATATGAGTGCCCAATGGCTTCCCTACCATACCTCAACCCAGTGCTTTAACATTTTTGAGGTATTCTGGGTGAGAGGTCAGAGATGGGGTAACAGACAATCATTATCAAAATACAATTATGCCTGGCCACTATGATTCACTGGTTGAGCATCAACCCATGCATGGTTTCATTCTGGTTAATGCATATGCTCAGATTAGGAGCTTGATTCCCAATAGGGGTCATGCAGGAAGCAGCTGATAATGATTTTTCTTTCATTGTTGATGTTTCTATCTCTCTCTCTCCCTCTCCCTTCCTCTCTCTTAAATAAAAAAAAAAATATATTTTTAAAATTTAATACAATTGCTCAAACAGCTGATCAACTATGTAAGTAAGATATGAAACATGTTTTAGATGTATTTACTTGGTACATTATATGAAAACTTTTTGATAAGATAGAAAATAAAAACAAATCAATGAGTTCTTAGCTTGAGAAAATCTATTTCTACAAATCAAAGCACGCGCACAGGTCTTTTGCATGTAATTTTATTTTTAACAAAATGCACCAACTTTTGTTGTTTCAAGTATTACATGTTTCCTTTTTTCTTATTAACCCCCTTTCCTTTTTTCTTATTAACCCCCACCACTCCTATCCCTGAGGGCAAGCCTTCACTGCTCCAGTGTCTGTGTCCATTGGTCATGATAATATGCATTCATATAAATTCTTTGGTTGATCTCTAATCACCATTCCCCACAAGCCTTCTCTCTGAGGTTGGATGGTTTGCTCACTGCCACCTTGTCTCTGGATCCATTTTTGTTCATTAGTTTATGTTGATCATTATATTCACATATGAGTGAGATCATGTGATAGTTATCTTCCTGTGTCTGGCTTATTTCACTTAGCACAATGCTCTCCAGTTCCATCCATATTATTGCAAATGGTAAAAGTTCCTTCTTTTTTTTTTTTAGCAGCGTGGTATTCCATTGTGTAGATATACCACAGTTTTTTAATCCACTCATCTGCTGATGGGCACTTAGGCTGTTTCCAAATCTAAGCTATTGTAAATTGTGTTCTTATGAACATAGGGATGCATTTATCCTTTCTGATTGGTGTTTCTAGTTTCTTGGGATATATTCCTAGAAATGGGATCACTGGCTCAAATGGGAGTTCCATTTTTAACTTTTTGATGAAACCCCGTACTGTTCTCCAAAGTGGCTGCACCAGTCTGCATTCCCACCAATAGTGCACGATGGTTCATTTTTTCTGCATCCTCACCAGCACTTGTCATTTGCTGATTTGTTGATGATAGCCATTCTTATAGATGTGAGATGATACCTCATTGTTGTTTTTATTTGCATCTCTCAGATGATTAGTCACTTTGAGCATGTTTTCGTATGTCTCCTGGCCTTCTGTATGTCCTCTTCTGAAATGGTCTGTTTAGGTCTTTTGCCAATTTTTGATTGGATTGTTTACCTTCTTTTTGTTAAGTTGTATGATTTTCCTATAAAGTTTGGAGATTAAACCCTTATTGGAGATAACATTGGTGAATATGTTCACCCATACAGTGGGCTTTCTTGTTGTTTTGTTGATCGTTTCTTTTACTGTTCAGAAGCTTTTTATTTTTATGTAGTCCCATTTGTTTATTTTCTCCTTAGTTTCCATTGCCCTAGGAGCTGTATCAGTAAAGATATTCCTATGACTTATGTCTCTATTTTTATTTTTTTCACAATGTTTATCATTGAGTCCAAATGGGAGAAATTATTTTCAGAAAGCATGTGATTAATGAATAGCACGTGGCTCATGAAGTCATGATTTTGATGTACTTTCTCCACAGGCTGCTCTCAGCATCCACGGCATGTGTGGGGGGCCGATGCTGGGCTTGTTCACCTTGGGGATCGTGTTTCCTTTTGTGAACTGGAAGGTAAGGATCCTGCACTTCTCTCTTCTCTCAAGTTATCCTGGTAATTTGTCTTTGCCAGGAAAAACAAAACACACACACACACACACACACACATATAACACAGTGGCTTCTTTCCATGGAGCTAAACAAAACCTGAGCCCTCCTATCTCTGACTTCAGTGAACCCATTTTAGAAGCAGAAAACAAAGAAAGAAAGAGATGGTCCTAAAATATAAAATTTCATGGCCTCAAAGCTGATTATTTAAAAAAAAATATGTAGGTGGGTTCCGACTTACAGCGAAAATTGCGTTATGTCACACAGTAGGCAGAGATCTCCGACATAACCTGAGGACCTACTATATATATAAATGTTTTCTATATTTGTACCTAAATTATAACTAATTTAAGTTAATGAACTAATTTAAGAAGAGAAGAGCTATGCATACCCTGAGAGCTGAATCTTCTTGTTTTGGCTAGCTGACAAACTAGTAGGTTGTCTTAAGTAAATATTGGTTGGATGACTGTGTAGTAAGTATAATTCAAAATGAACATTTATTTGGAAAAGTAATATAAAATATTTAAAATTTAAAAATATTTTAACATATTTTAAATATAATATTATCAAGCTAGCATTTTACTGTTTATGATTGTCATTCACATATTTATATATATATATATATGTCTCATGACACATGAAGTTTTAGAAAGTCTGCAGAAAACCTGACTCTATGCATATTTTTAATATATTGTGGGGTGTTCAAAAAAGCCTGATCACATGGTATACCTAATTAGATCTTTGTGGCCTCCTGACAATTATTCTAGATAAATCTTATGAGGATAGGTAAAGAAAGTAGACAGGAAGGAACATTTAGGAATCTGTACTACTTCCCCTGCAGTCTTATCAGAAGACACTTTGTTTTCATCAACTTTTCTGATATCGATGTTAACAAGGATAGCTATGTCCTTGGAAAGACAGAGGCAGAAAAGCAATTTCTTAGCCACAAAAGAACTAATAACTAGCCATATAACACTTCAATGCATTCTAAACATTCATTTGTTGTGTATGTTAGATAATTGTGGTCCTTCTATTTAGTTGGGAAAACTACCTTGTTCTAGATAAAAAATAATAATGACTACAAATTTGTATCACCTCTCACCTCGCCATTGGCCATGGTGGATCCTATCAATCAATACTGGCTCTCTCTCCACAGAATGTGGATGCAACCTCAGACTTCTTCTCAGCATGGCTTTCAAGACAGCCAGGGTTGAACTTTCTATTGAAGTCCATTCACCCTATACTGGTAGGCCTTCTAGGCCTCAGCAAGCTGCACTTTTCAAGCCAGATTCAGCCATCTTCCCATTTTTGGTGTGGCTTGCAAGCTAAAAATGACTTGACATGTTTAAATTGTTGGAAGGAAATAAAAAGAAGAATGTCTCATGACACATGATTATTACATAAAATTTCCACTCCAGTGCCCATGAATTTTACCAGAACACAGCCAGTCTCCTTTGTTTGCATATTGTCTGTGGCTGGTTTTATGCCAAGTAGCAGAAGCCAGTCGTTGTGACAGTCCTACATGGTCCTCAAAGCCTAAAAGGCTATTAGCTAGCTTTTTATAATAAAAAATTGCAGACCTCTAGTCAGACCAAAGCACAACTATCCAAATGGTATGCATTGCTTTAGTTTTCTTAAATTATGGTGAAAGGAACATTTCAATGAGGTTATTGGAGTAGCTTTATTTTGAATAAATAGAGAAACAGGCCAGTTGCTTTCTCTCGCAGAGAAGACTGAGCTATCCAGGAGAGCCAGGGGCACCCAGATTTTTATTTTCCAGGGGCATTGGTCTTGGCTCAACTGTCTCCTTTATGAAAAAAAGAAAAGAAAAGACTTTTCACTGTTTAGCAAGAAATATAACCCTGCAATGAAAGGGCTAGTAAATACACATGCTAGAACTTAGACTCAACACTGCAAATCTGGGAGTCAGAGACTCTGCCAGGAACTCTTGGAAGAGCCTATGGGAATGGAGCTTCTGTATTCTAGCTCATAATGACTATTAATGATAAATTACTTCAACTGTCTCCATTATCTGAAGTTTTCCAAAACTTCTGAAACTCAGCTACTGGGAACTGAGGTTTCAACAGTTTTTTTAAGTGAGTGTTAAATGAGAGGAAGAAGCCAAATGGAGAGAAGCAAATTCCTGAAAGGAATCGAAATACAATAATCTCTATAAAATTATCCAGTGTTTTCACTTAAGGAATAAGTTATTTCTAAATAAAGTGGTGTCGAGGGAGTTGGAAGGAAGGCAGTTTGAGCATGCTATTTCCAGAATGTGTGGCTAAGATTTGAGGTGGAAAGCCAGAATCTCCAAGGCACAGTATTCCTCACCTCATTATGTGTTCATATGGCTTTGCCATTAACTTTTCCTTTGCTTCATCAAGGGTGCACTAGGTGGCCTTCTGACTGGAATCACCTTGGCATTTTGGGTGGCCATTGGGGGCTTCATTTATCCCGCACCAGCCTCCAAGACATGGCCCTTGCCTTTATCGACAAACCAGTGCGTCCCATCAAATGTGACGGTGTTAGTGCCTTCAGTGCTATCCAGCAGGTATGGTGACTTCAAGGGCAGAGGTAAATCCCAGAGGGTGGGTCATCATGTTAAAAGAAGGAGCAAGACAAGACCAATATTTCTTTCCTGCGAGACTCCCCTGAGCAGCATGCAGCATTGATACCCATGATTTCTGTAGATATCCAGTGTTCTACATTCCAGTGTAGAACAGTAAAGGTGGCAGAAGGGTTAGCTGAAGTGAGTGCAAATTAGAAAAAAATAGTGAAAAGTTTGAAAGTAGAATGTAAAGATCATAGATGTATTTTTAAAAGAATAAATGCTCTGAGTAGAATAGGTTTGTGGGCAAGGTGGAGAATGATTGTGGACATACTGAGACGGGAGCAATGCTGAAAACTTATAGTTTCTAACTCAAACTGTACAGGGCTTAGCAAAGGGTTGTATTATCTATTTCTAGCTGGGACACGTGTTTCAAAATATCAAAATACAGGAGATAATGTAATGCTGGGAGAGGACCATGGACTTTGAAATCAGAAATATCTGTGTTTGGATTTTTGTTTTATGATTTATCCGTGCTGCACAAGTTAGTAACTTGTCATGTCTTGATTTCCCACAGTCCTTAGAGAAGGTAATAATTTACTGGGACTTTGATAGGATTAAACAATATTAAATCACATTACATTTATATCTCTATATTAAATTATATCTGTCTATTAAGTTCTAGCTATCATTTATTTATCTATATGTCATCTATCTATCTATATACAGTGAGAGAGAATGAGAGAGAGGGAGAGAGAATGAGCCAGGAGCACTGTACCTGGCTCTAGTAAGTGTGCATTCTCACATCTAACTGCGCTCCTGAGGAGGTGGTCCTTTCTATATAATGTATGAGAACTCCATTATCTTGCTGGCATTTGCCTCTGAGTGTCATCTAGTTTACAGCTATTCTCTCCACAAACCTTATGGACAAGCAATATTTATAGTTCCCAGGTCTACCATGTTGTTTCTTTCTTCCTGCCTATGCTTATAGGGTCCTCTTTTCTTTCCTTAGTTAACTCTTACCCATTCTTTAAAAATAACCTACGGTGTCATTTCACACATCAGCCTGGGTTTTATACCCTTTCTAATGCTCCCAGAATCCTCTGTGTCTATTCCACCAAGGCACTGCCGCTCATGATTGTTAATTCCTGTATACTGACCGTGGCTTGCTCATCTTTTAATCTTCAGTGCCTGTGATAATTTCTGGCACTAAATCTGGGTTTAGTAGATGTCTGAAGAATAAATAATACCAAAAAAAAAAATGGAAGGCATAGTTCTCATTGTAATCGTAATTCAGTGGAAATATTTGTAATCCCGGGATAGAAGGGATACAAAGCACAACTTGTCTAGCTTTGAGTTGTTGTTTTGTTTTGTTTTGTTTTTAAATAATCAAATGGCAAAAAGTTAAGCTTTTGGGTTTTGAGCGATGCCAGGCCTTAAAATGAACCCTCAGCAGTTCTCTCTAAGTCCCTGTGAATGGTAACTTCAGAACCCACAGAACTACTGACATGCTGTTGTCCTTCCTCCACAGGCCTCCGATTGCTGACTCCTGGTATTCAATCTCCTACCTTTACTACAGTGCAGTGGGCTGCCTGGGATGCATTGCTGCTGGAGTAATCATCAGCTTCCTCACAGGTTGGGTACCTGGGGCTTCTCTTTGGGGCCAAGGACCCCAGGCTAGGGTCCAGTTTCATGCATCGATGGTCTTAGTGGCTGGCTAACTGGTGTGATTTTGGATCCACCACAAAAATCCCCTCTTCCTAGAGAGATATATCTATCTCCAGACTAACATGCAAAAAAATCTCTTTTTACATATATTATTAATACATATAATTAATAATGATTCATATACTGTATGTAACATATATATGATTAGCAATATATAACATCCTGTATAATAATAGAGGAATATGCAAATTATCCAGGATGCCATAATGTCAAAATCGCTCAACAGGCAGCATGCATAGCAGGCACGGGTGGGTAGAGCCTTGCAGTGTCAAAAATGGGGGCAGGGCCGCAGCAGAGGTTAGGCAGGTTCACACAGAGGGAGGCCTCCACTGTGGGCCCACCCAGAGGGGTCCGCAGGCCTCCACCTCACCTGCCCTGGGATCTGCAGGTCTCCTCTGGCTCTTCCTACCTCTTTCAGGCAATCCATCAAGGAGCCCTGGGTGGATGGGCAGGGCCTACCTCTTTGGGGAAATGCATCCTGGGGCTCCTGCACTATGACAGAGCACAGGCCAGGCTGGGACATCATCCTCCCCCTTGAGTGCATGAATTTTGTGCACCGGGCCACTAGTATACTTACAAATATCTTCCATATGTACTGATTTGGTTCAAAACTGAGAGCTTTCCTAAAGAAAGAAATTATGTAATTTCTGCTATCCCTTCTGCTGGCATATAAAGGGTACTAGTAGTAGAGTTTTCCATAATAACTATTTTAACATAAATGTATTCTCTCTGTTTAACTCTATAGCCAGGAGCTTGCCTGACCTGACAGCTTGTATTGAATAGATGTTTAAAAACCAACTCCGACCACTTTGAGTGACTAATGTGACTAATGTCTGTCTATTAACTAGTCAGGCCTGAGTTTACCTTACACTAAGTCACATCCTGCTTCTCAAGTTGATGATGCCTCCGTCCTCAAAGGAAGTCCTGGAAGGGTACAACCACCTCATCCATCTGTCCTTTCATTTATAGGTCACCAGAGTGGCAAAGACATTCAACCAATGCTAATCAGACCTGTCTGCAACCTATTTTGCTTTTGGTCTAATGAATATAAAACATTGTGCTGGTGTGGAGTACAGCATGATGGTGGGACAGAGCAGGTGAGCTGATGTTTGAGCTTCTGGAAAATAGACACTGGCTCAAAGGGATTCCCTTTTCCCATTTAAACCATCTGCACAGGTGGGTGTGGGGAGGGAACACAGTGAGTGTCAGGACCTGAAGAAATCTGGGGCTCAACTTCAGTTATCTCAGCCAATTAACTTTTTTTTTTTTTTTTTTTTTTTTTACAGCTTTTATTTATTTACTAGAGACCAATACATGAAATGTGTGCACTGGTAGGGTCCCTAGCGACTGCTGGCTGCCTGCCTTCTGCCCCCCCCCCCCCCCCCCCCGCCGCCCCCTGGCTGCAACTGGTACATCCCTCCCTTACCCCAGCTGGCCCTGCCCCCTTGTCAAACTCCTAGACAACTCCTGGTTGAGGGGACAATTTGCGTACTATGTCTTTATTATATAGGGTTTTTATTGACTAGAGAGGGAGGGAGAGGGAGAGATAGATAAAAATATCAATGATGAGAGAGAATCATTGATTGGCCACTTCCTGCACATCCCCTACTGGGAATTGAGCCCATAACCCAGGCATATTCTCTTGACTGGAATTGAACTGAGACCCTTCTGTCCACAGGCTGACATTCTATCCACTGAGCCAAACCAGCTAGGATTCACCCAATTAGCTTTTAAGCAAGTAATTGTGTTGTAGCTAAATATGTCTCTGGTCTAAATTGTTGTCTTTGCAAGTGATCTATTTCCAAAATTCCTTTGAACTTTTCTGAGGGTGAATTGTAGGAAAAATATATAAATGAATGCCAGAAAAGGAATAAAATAGGAGCACTGTCTCATATAGTAGTGAAAAGTATGGGCTTGGAAGTCAGGCCTGGGTTTAACCCTGGTTCCATGCCTTATTGTCCTTGGGTAAAATAACCTCTCTGGACTTCAGCTTTTATCTTAGAACTGGGGTGGGCTGTGCAGCACAACCTGGGCACAAACATCTCTCGTTCCATGGAGCGTGAACATAAAGTAAGAGTTATTGGGGGCACTTCTTAGGTTAGAGAAGCAGCAGAAGGATTCACAAAGTCTCCCCACTCTCTCACCCCACTGAGCAATGTATTTTGGCCACGCAGGGCTAGAGACACTGTCCAGGTACTAACGGGGGTCACATCATCCAAAGTCCAAGGACTGTGTTTAGACCAAATTAGACTTACTGACTTGATGTAGCAAGAGTGGGGGACATTCCAGGGGAACCAGGGAATGCCACCCTCAATAAGAAGAGAGATTGGCATGCATTTTTGGTTTGGGTTGCTGCTGAAGGATTCCGGGAGGGGTTGAAGGGAAGCAGGAATGAAAACAAAGCTGTCTGCAGCAGCGTTGGCTAACAAACATTAATCACTAGAGAGTTATGGCATTTGACAAGTGCAGAACCTTAGGGGGAGCAATGTTTCCCATTATGTTTATGGCTGGTCTTATATGTGTCTGTCCTTTTAGCTTTACTAATGGCAGGCATGTTGTATTTCTCCCCTTTTTAGATAGAGTTTATTATCATCCTTTCAGACCCAGACACTTCATTCTTTCAGCATTCTAGGAAGGGAACTCCTTACCCTTATCATATCACCTAAGGTGCCACTTTCCCCCAAACAAGGTAATAACATGTCCATGAAGAAAAGCTGAGCTGAATGCTACTTCAGTAAGGAGTGCACCATCTAGACAGGGGTTACAAATGGGAAGAAAACCTATTCAGCTGAGGAAGCAGCTGGTTGAGCAGAATATTGTTTGGATAAGAGGATTATGAATAAGTTCTAGAGAGAAAGAATCAAGTTATCGAGTAGTTTACATATTTATCTTCCCGGGCAAGATTTTCTTGAAATAAATGATAAATCCTGCCTCGAGGCTGAGTTGAGAATGGGACGGAGCATGTAGCATGTCACTATTAGGTTCCACAGCCAAAGAGTATCATCGAGCAGCCTCTGTATAGGAGCATCTGTATACAGGTACCCAGTTACGCCCTCACCATACCACTATCAGAGAATCAGAGACACAGGTTCTCTCTCCTTAGGAAGTAATGCCACTATATCACAGGTTTGCTTAATAAGTTATATATATATATATATTTTTTTTCTCCACACAACACATGACATATTGTAAATGCTCACTAAATTATTCTTTTTTATTTTATCATCATTAGAAATAGGTACCTACGTGGATTGAGGCATCAAAGTTATCAATTAGAAAGTGCCTTGGGTCAGTTAATTGTGCTACTTTTGTATTTACCAATACATATCATTTTTATTTTATTTTTATTTTTGATAGGGGAGGCCCAAGTCCCTTGATTTACTTTGGAATACATCAAGATGATTTCACTAATATGTGTCTTTCCCCTTTCCGCAGGAAACCCTTGAGAATGGCAGCACCAGGAAACAAGGAACTGAAATGGTCTTACAGAACGGACTCAGAAGAAAAAGCCTGGTCCGCGGTCCAAGCTGCAATTCCAAGGGCAAAAGCTATGACAATGTGGCATTTGAGAAGATTACCCATTTCTAAGGCAACACGTGCATGCGTGTGCACACAAACACGCACATACACACGCGTAGGCATACATAGTCCCCATGCTTTTTGCTTATTGGTTAGTAGACTTGTGTAGTTGCCATTGCTAGAAGAAAAGGGTGCCTACTGTCTATTTATAACTTATTTATAACCTCAAATACAATGACCATTTCCTGGGATATTCTTTGGAAGACCCAAACTTTCAGGTGAGAAAAAACAACCACGCCTTAAGTGCCCAGGAGACATCCTTCTTGAATAAAGTGAGACTGGATTTAATCATTGTACAAGAAATCATTCTGTTTGCTTTGTGAATATTAAACGTCCCTTTTCTTGGTAGATTTTTAACCATCAAATATCTTGTAATTTACAGGCAGAATGAGGAAGGGGATATGCGTATTAAATGCTTCTCTGTCTCAGGTGATAAAACAAGAGAATGACAGCCACCTGAACCCCCATAAGTCACATATACACAGACTGAACCCCCACAAGTCACATATACACAGACACATTTCATATACCTCCATCCTGTAGCTTCAGGTGCAACTTATAGCTGCTATTAGCACCCCTGCCACACTCATATTTTTAAGTCCTCTTCCAGTGATGCCTGCTCCTACAGCTGTCCTGACCAAGCCTTCAAACAACTGTGCTCAGCACAGGTGACACTAGAATGCCTGGCTAGTGAAGGCAATTATAGATATCCTTCTCCCTTTAGGTATTCAATGTAGTATTTTTTTTTTTTTTTTACTTTTTTTCTTTCTTTTCTTTTTTTACCACCTTGCAATGAAAAATTGACTCTGTGCTCAATAAGAAGTGTAAGTCTTTCTCCAGAGCTAAAGAAGAAATGTCCAATAGGAAATTGTTAGAACAGTATTGTGTAAAAGAACCTTATAAATAGTTTACCAGCCCAGAGCTTTCACTAGCCTTAGGTATTTCTTTGATGCAAAATAACCTGCCCACAGTTTTTATATCCTTCTCATTCTGCTCATGCATGCAAGCTCAATGTGTTCCATCAGGTGAGGGTAGTAGAAGCAAATATCTTAATGGTTGAACTCTAGCAAATAATTTATAAATACTTGTTAATTTTCAGTATATGGATATATATATATATATATATATATATATATATATATATATATATATATATAAAGGCAGCTACTATAATGGCCATAATAACCTTAATGGCCATAATAACCTAACAACCAGTCTTTCTAATGCCCACTATGGCCAGCGAACTGGCCCAATCAGAGGGTGGGGCCAGCAGCCAACTTCACAGTCCCTCCTCCTTGCCGGCCTGCCCCTGATCTGATTCTCCCACCCATATCAAGACTGGGGTCTGTCAGTCAAATGCCCCCTCCATTTCTCCCAGCCAGCTGTGCCACAGATCAGCCTTCCACACCACAATAGGCCAACATCCCCACCCCAGGCCGTCCCACCCCTGATCACAACCTCACACCCCAATAGGAGGCGAGGATTGGTGGCCAACCTCCTGCAGCCCCTCTCCCCAAGCTGGCCACTTCCCCAGTGGGTCCCTACCACCCTGATCAGCCTTCCACCCATCCTTCTGGCTGACTTCACTCCTGATCATCCTCCCACCCCAATCAGAGGCAGGGCTGGCTCGCAAACCACCCACAGCCCCACCCCCAAGCCACTGGCCTCTAATCAGCACCACCACCATCACATTTGGGGGTGGGCCCTGCCATTTCACCTCCTTCAGCCCCTCCCCATGGCTGGTTCTGCCCCCAATTGGACCCCCAAACCTAAACAGGGGCAGGGCCCACCAGCCAACCACCTATGACCTCTTCCCCTAACCAGCCCAGCCTTGATCTGGGGCCCTGATTTGGCCCTGATCTGTGTGGGGCAGCTGGCCAACCTCCAACCATCTTTTCCTCCTGACTTATCCAGCCCGAACTGCCTTGACTGGGGCCTGGCCGGCTGAACTCCAACCTTGCATGAACTCATGCACTAGACCTCTAGTCTATATATATAAAAAGCCAAAGACCATAGTGCCATAATGATCGGTACGACTGGTTGCTATGATGCTCAATATGGCCAGTGAACTGGCCAGATCCAAGGATGGGGTCTGCCAGCCATCACCTCTGCAGATTCTCTCCCCCTCCAAGCTGGCCCCACCCCTAAAAGCCCCCCACCCCAATAAGGGGCTGACTGGCCAACCTCCTGCAGCCCTTCCACCTGGCCTGCCCCACCCCTGCTGGGCCCCCACCACCTCCTTAGGCCCTCAGCCCCTCCCCTGGCCAGCCCTGCCCCTGATCAGCCTCTCCTACCCCATTGAGGGAGAAATGGCCAGCCAACTACTCCCTCTCCCTTACCCATGGCTGCTTCCCCCAGCTAGCTTTGCCCCTGATTGGCCTCTCCCTCTCCCACCCCAATCTCCCACAGCCCCTCCACCTGGCTGGCCCCACTTCTACCCCATCAAAGGTGGGGCAGCCAGCCAACTCCCCCATGTCTCTTCCCCCCAGCCAACCCCACCGCTGATTGCCCCCTACCCCTATAGTTGGTGGGGCTGGCTGGCCAACCTCCTGTAGCCCCTCCCCCCATCTAGCCCCACTCCTGATCAGTCTGTTCCACCCCATCAAGATTGGGGCAGCTGTCCAACCTCCAACAACCTCTCCCTGTGGCTAATCCCACCATCGATGGGCTTACACAACCCTGACTGGCCCTCACCCCCATATCCCATTAGGGGACAGGGTCATCTGGTCAACCTCCTGCAGCCACTCCCCCTGCATGGTTTTACCCCAGTTATCCACCCGACCCCCCCAGCCTGATCAGGTACAGGGTCAGCTGTCCAACGCCTGTGCCCCTCCCTCCAGCCACTGTCCCTCGATCAGCCCCCTTCAACCTATTTGGGGGGTGGGGATAGTTGGCCCACCACCTACAGCCCCTCCTCACAGCTAGCCCCACCCCCAATCACATTCCACCACCCTATTTAGCCTGCAGCCTCTCCCCCAGTTAGCTCTGCTCCTAATCAGTTCCCTCCACACCAATTGGGGAGGGGCTGGCAGCCAACCTCCTGCAGCTCCTCCCCCAGATTCTGACCCCTGATCACCTCCCCATCCCTTTCGGGGGTGGGGCTGACCCATCACCCTCATCCCCTCCACACAGCCAGCCTGGCCAACCTCCCACCATCACTTCCTCCAGACAGGCCCAGCCCTGATCCGCTGATTGGTACCAGGCCAGCTAGACCCCACTCATGCATGAATTCATGCACTGAGCATCTAGTATTTATAGAAGTAGTCAATTTTAGGAAAAGTACCTATAGAATGAGCATCCTATATAATAAAATCCTAATATGCAAATCAACTGAATGGCAGAACAACCAGTCGCTATGATGTGCAATGACCACCAGGGAGACAGATGCTCAGCCAGAATCCAGGCTCATGGCTGTGAGCACAGAGGCAATGGCGGGAGCCTCTCCCACTTCTGCCACAGCACTAAGGGCCCCTAGGGGGATGTCCACCTGCCAGCTTAAGCCCACTCTGGGGAGCAGGCTTAAGGCAGCAGGTGGACATCCCTCATGGGGTCATGGGCTATGAGAGGGTGCAGGCCGGGCTGAGGGAGCCCCCTTCCAGTGCATGAGTGTCGTAGTCGTACATGGGCCTCTAGTGTGTGTGTGTGTGTGTGTGTGTGTGTATATGCTATGATTTTTTTTTTTTTTGAGGAGATAGCACATCTTTATTTTGGGGTCTTGAGGTAAGAGGAGAGGGCCAGGGGGTCTGGAGGTCTGGGGTGCGCGGGTTTGGGCAGCTGGCAAGCCTGTGCATGACAACAACCTGGCCTAGCTGCGCTCGCAGATGACCTTGACTACACTGGGCTCCTTGGGCACAGGGTCCGGGCATCGAAGGGCGGCAGAGGCCACCACCTCGTCCAGCAGCAGGTGCACAAGCTCCTCGTTAGCCACAAAGTGCCACAGGTAGAGCTGCAGGAAGTGGCAGCCCACCTGCCCCTGCTGCAGCCCAAAGTGCCCAAAGGTGCACGGCCACACACACTCCAGCAGCGTCTTCATGCTGATCTTGGTGATGCCGGTCAGCAACGACCCCTTGTTGAACTCAACAGGGCTGCACACGTCAGTAAGCTCAGAGAACAGTTTCTGGATGTTGCTCAAGAGGTTGGTGTCCACTGGGGCACTAGGTGTGTAGCTGGGTGCATAGTGGCTCTGCTGCCTGGAGCTGCTGTCCACGGAGAAGGTCTTCTTGCTCTGGGCCTTGTGAACACCCTCTTCGTACAGGAGCCCCACCTGCAGGTCAATAGCTGTCATGTCCTCCACCATCCGCTTCATGAAGTTCCACGGCTCCAGGGTACTGAGCCAGCCCCATGTCTCCACGATCTTGCGCAACATCAGTGATTTGACCAGGCCCTGCACCTTCACCTAGAGCACATGTGTCAAACACAAGGCCCGCGGGCCAAATCCGTCCCGCCAGGCCTTGCAATGTGACCCGCACCGCGCTGTCATCACTGCACTCCGCTGTGTTTCCATCAGAATGACAGTTTATGACTGTTCAGTAAACCATTCGGCCCGCGATATAGGCTGGATTTTAGATTTTGGCCCCTTCTCTGATTGAGTTCGACACCCCTAACCTAGAGTGTCAGCAGTCGCCCCCGTGCCCTCTCCCTGGCCTCTGCACACAGTGTGCTCCCAGGTGTCCCTGGTGACTGCACCAGAAACTGTTCGTCAGTGAGGGTAAGAATGTAGGAGATGGTGGCCTTCTCCTTGGCAGTGAAGAGGGGTACAGCAGCCAGCGAGGCCTTCATGTGGCTCAGGATGGAGCTGGCCACATTGGCCAGCAACTCGACCAGGCCAGGGCCTTCCTTCCTAGCCAAGCAAAGTACAGCCAGCGCCTGCCGCACATCGGTTAGGTTAGGCAGCCTAGGAAGGCCGCCCACAGGCCCTGCAAGTGGTGGCCCAGGCTAATCGCTCCACGAACTCTCTGGCAGTATCAGCCAGCCCGGCAGCAGCAAGCAGAGCCCCAGGTGCTCGCAAGTGCCAGTGGAAGCGGTCTAGTGCCCGCACCAGCAGCGAGTTGTTGAGTTGTTGATGCCACCTTGCTCCCGCACCAGCTGTCTCTCCACCAGGGCAAAGGAGCAGGCGCCCAGCTCCTGGGCAAAGGCTGCCAGCTTCTCCGCACCTGCTGGGCCCTGGGCCGCAAACAGCTCCTGATAAGCTGCAGCCAGTTGGCAGAGGCCATCCACAAAGCCACTACCTGCCGCCATGGTTGGTAAATTCTAACACATCGGGGGCAGGAGCCAAGGGCCCCAGCTCTGCCT